TACTTTCTCCAAGAAGTTTTTAATTTTTTTTAAAGAGAGAGTGAGAGAGGAGAGAGAGAGAGAGAGAGAGAGAATTTTTAATATTTATTTTTTAGTTCTTGGCGGACACAACATCTTTGTTGGTATGTGGTGCTGAGGATCGAACCGGGGCCGCACGCATGCCAGGTGAGCGCGCTACCGCTTGAGCCACATCCCCAGCCCCAGAAGTTTTTAATTTTAATGATGTGCAATTTTTTCTTTTATGAATTCCACTTTTGGTGTCATATCTAGGAAAACTTTGCCTAACTCAAGGTCACAACAATTTTCCTTTATTCTTTCTTCCAGGTTTAGACTTTTAGTTTTACATCTAGATATGTTGTCTATTTTGAGTTAATATTTGTATATGGTGGGAACTATGAATTGAGAGTAGTTTTTTCCTTATGTGAAGATATAGTGGTTGCAGCCTACTTATTGAAGACTATCCTTTCTCCATTAAGTTGCCTTTGTACCTTCATTAAAACTGACTTGTCCATATGTGTGTGGATATATTTCTGGATTTTGTGCTATTGATCTTTTAGTCTTCATGCCAATACCACAACCTCTGCCTGTAATTTTATAAGCCTTGAAATCAGGTAGTGTTAGTCCAACTTGTTCTTATCTAAATTATATCGGCTCTTCTAGATCCTTTATGTTTCTACAAGTTTTAGAATCAGATTAGTTTCTACAAAACTGTTGGGATTTTTATTGTGCTTGTATTGTGTGTGTGTGTTTAAATTTGGAGAAAAATCAACATTTTAATGTCTGACTCCTATCTGACCTCTTGGGCAAGGTACATCTCTCCACTTATTGAGATCTTCTTGAATTTATCTCAGCAATATTTTTTAAGTGAATTCTTTTTTAAAAATATATTTTTAAATATTTATTCTTAAGCTTTAGGTGGATACAATATCTTTATTTTACATTTATGTGGTGCTGAGGATCGAAGCCGGTAACTTGTGCATGCTAGGTGAGCACTATACCACTGAGCCACAACCCCAGCCCTAAGTGAATTCTTTTCTCAAAATTTTTATATGTATTTTTAGTTGTTAATGGGCTTTATTTTATTCATTTATTTATATGTGGTGCTGAAAATTGAACCCAGTGCCTCACATGTGCCAGGAAAGTGCTTTACCACTGAGCCTCAATCCCAGCCACCATCTTAGAAATACTTTTAAGTCATTATCTTTAGTCATATTTACCCGAAATGCTTATTTTTATCATTGTAAATTGTATTTTTTATTTATTTTTTCCTGACGCTTAGCTTTTTATGTATTTTAGTCATACATGACAGCAGAATGTATTTTGACATATAATACATACATGGAATGTACATACATCATTCATATTGTCTATTCTATTCTGCTGCCTTTCCTATCCTCCCTACTCCTTCCCTCCTCTCCCATCCTTTCTCTCTATCCAATCTAATGTGACATTTTTTTTCTTTTTCTCATTACAACATCATATATGTATTCTGTATAACAATGAGGTTCTCCTTCCATCTTCCGTGCAACTCCCCTTCTCTCTCTTTTTCCCTCCCACCTCTCTTCCCTATTTAGTGGTAGTATTCTTCTCATGCTCTTCCTCCCTATCCCATTTTGAGTCACCCCCCCTTATACCAGAAAAGACATTTGGCATTTGACTTTTAGGGATTGGCTAACTTCACTTAGCATAATCTGCTCTAATGCCATCCATTTGCCTGCAAATGCCATGATCTTGTTATTTTTTAGTGCTGAGTAATATTCCATTGTGTATAAATGCCACATTTTTTTAATCCATTCATTTATTGAAGGGCATCTAGGTTGGTTCCACATTCTAGCTATTGTGAATTGTGCTGCTATAAACATTGATGTGGCTGTGTCCCTGTAGTATGCTCTTTTTAGGTCTTTTGGGTATAGTCCGAGAAGGGGAATAGCTGGGTCAAATGGTGGTTCCATTCCCAGCTTTCCAAGGAATCTCCATACTGCTTTCCAAATTGACTGCACCAATTTGCAGTCCCACCAGCAATGTATGAGTGTACCTTTTTCCCCTGCATCCTGGCCAGCACTTATTGGTTGTTTGACTTCATAATGGCTGCCTTTCTTATTGGAGTGAGATGGTATCTTAGAGTAGTTTTAATTTGCATTTCTCTGATTGCTAGAGATGGTGAGCATTTTTTCATGTATTTGTTGATTGATTGTATATCCTCTTCTGGGAAGTTTCTGTTCAAGTCCTTGGCCCATGTAAATGGTATTTTTTAAAAATTCTGTTCCTGCTCATTTCTAGTACAGAGAAATACAACTGATTTTTGTATACTGACCCTGTATCATCACCATGACCATGAATACATGAATATAAGGTCTATATAGACAATCCTGTTATCTGCTAATAAATTTTACTTCGTGTTCCCTAGTCTGTGTGCTTTTTATTTCTTGTGTTATTGTAATAGCTGGGACACCCAGTATACATTGAATAGAAATGGTAGAAGTAGACAGACTTGTTTCTGATCTTAGGGGAAAGTATTCCTTTTTTTTCTGTCATTAGGGATGATGTTAGCTGTAAGATTTTTGTGGCATTGATGCCTTCTATCAAGGTGAGAATAATTCCTTCTATTCCTAGTTTGCTGAAAGTTTTTATCAAGAATGGATACTGAATTTTATAAAATGTCTTTTATATATCTATTGAAATTACCATGTTTTAAAATTTTTAGTTTGATGTGAATTACATTAGCCATTTTTAAATGTTAAACCAAACTTGCATTCCTAGTTTTAAAAAGGAAGTTATACAGTTTGAAGGTGGTAGAGTAATGATGATAGTTTTCCATCTTGGAAACCACCCAAGTAAAGATGAAAATGAGAAAAAATGCAAATATTATGTCTGATGAAATCAGGAGAGAATAGAAACTATAAACAAATTAGGTGGACAGGGAGAAAAAAAAACACAGTGTACATGGAGTAGAAATTGGTATACCCACTTTGGAGATTATCAGGGAGCATTTACTAAAGTTGAATAGATACATACTTTATGACCCAACAGTTCCACCTAAGAAACAAGTACATCTGTCTACCAAAAACCTTAAACAAAAGTGTTCATAGATGCTTTATTCATGGTAACCCAAACCTGAAAAGAATCCAAATGTCTATCCACAGAATAAATTGTGTCTACCCACGGATAAATTGTAGTCTATCTGATAGGACAGTACACACTAATAAAAAGTCATAAATTACTGATAACTTGGATAAATCTCACAGATGTAAATTGGGGAGAATCCAGACACAGGAGTGCATTTTATATGATTTTGTTCCTTATAATTTCAAGAACAGGCTAATTTATAAAGCAGGTATGGTAGCTCCCATCTGTAATCCCAGATACTCAGGAGGCTAAGACAGGAGATTTCAAGTTCAAAGCCAGCATTGGCAATTTAGGGAGACCTGTCTCAAAATAAAGTATGAAAAGGGCTGGGGATGTAGCTCAGTGGTAGAGTGCTTCCCAGTATATGTGAGGCGCAGGGTTTGATCCCCCATATCACACATACATGTGCACACACCTTTTGGGGGATTTAAAGAGAAGGGGCACAATGGGAAATTTCCGGGATTGTGGAAAAGTTCTACATCTTGACCTGGGTTGTGGTTACATGGACTCACATTTGTAAAAAATTTGAGTTATACTCTCTAGATTTGTGCAACTGGGCTAGGGTTGTGGCTTAGAGGTAAAGTGCTTGTCTAGCATGTGTGAGGCACTGAGTTTGGTCCTCCGCACCACATAAAAATAAAAAAATAAAATAAAATACAGGTATTGTGTCCGTCTACAACCATATATATATTTTTAAATAAAATTAAAAAAAATAAGGCTGGGGATGTGGCTGAGTGGTTGAGTGCCCGAGTTCAATCCTTAGTAACCGCACCCCCCCACAAAAAAAGACTTGTACAATATATTGTATGTGAATTATGTCAATTAACAAGGAATCAGGGTTCCCCCACACACAAAATAAGAGTAGTTTAATATGAAAACATAAAAATGATTTAATAAAAGAAACAAAAATAGAATTCACTGTATAAACAGAACAGAGCAGAATAACCAATCAGTCCTCATAATAATAAAAAGCAGTTTTATCATCTGATATCCATTCATGATCAAAACTGTTAGTAAACTAAGAATGGACTTTTTTTCTTTCTAGTACTGGGGATCAAACCTAGGACCTCATGTATGTTAAGCAAGAACTCTACCACTGAGCGTATCCCCAGCTACTGGAGAGGGATTTTCTTAACTGAATAAAGATTACTTGTAAAAAACCTATAACAATATCATAATTTTTAAGAGTGGAAATTTAGAAGCAATTCCTTTTAAATCAGGATCCAGTTGAAAATGGTTAAGAACAGCAATTCCACATACCTTTGTTTGGGAATCTGAGTGCAGAGTAAGATGAGGAATACACAGGAAGACAGCCCATTCTGATAACATCTGTCTTTCAGATTCACACAGTTTCCTTCAGTTTAGAATTTCATAACTTTCATGTGTTACAAATATTTTACAAGTACACAATAAAAATTTTAAAAACTTGAACAATTTTTAAATCCCATTTCATTAGGCTGAAAGATGCCAGATTATAAGAGAGTACCTATTGAATGATTCCACTTATAAAAATTCTATAAAATGGAAATTGGTCTGCAATAACAGAAAGCAGATCAGTATAATGGTTGCTTGGGGACAAGAGCAAGAGAATGCAAGGAAATTGTAGGAGGGGTAAGAGGGAGATATTATAAAGAAGTAGAAGGATAAATCTGATCATTTTAGGCTGGTGTGGTAGTGCCCACCTGTAATCCCAGCAACTTGGGGGGGGGAGGATTGAAAGTTTGAGGCCAGCCTCAGCATCTTAGCAGGCCCCTAAACAATTTAGCAAGACTCTGTCTCAAAATAAAAAAGTAAAAAGAGCTGGGCTGTAGCTTCAGGGTAAAGTCCCCAGTATAATAATAATAATAATAAAAAAAAGATTATCTTGATTGTGATGATAGTTTTACAGATGTATATATTATCAAACTGTACACTTTAAATATGCGCAGTTTATTGTATATAAATTACACTTTGATAAAGCTGACTTTTAAAAAAAAGAATAGGTGCATTTACTTGCAATCAGAGTTTATCTTTCACTAGAGCATGTCTTAGATGTATCTGACATATGAACTGAACACAAAACTTATGCCACAAACTGAATAATGTTAACAGAAGGCAAGTTATCTACTTTTGTTGGAAAACTTCCATTTTAGATCAAATGTTTTGAAAAAAGCAGTTGTACTAGTTTTAACTTTTCTTAAAAAAAAAAATTTCCCCTCTGGAAAGTAAAGGTTGATACCAGAGTAAAGTGCTCATACATTTTTTGCTTCTTTTAGAATATCTTGGTATGGCAAAGGAATGGATCTAATTCTTTGAAAACCAAGATTCAAAAAACAAAACAAGATTCCATGAGGAGACAATGCAAGACTGTCTTACTGAATGACTTGTTAATGGTCAATCATGGTTTCTGAGACAACACAGTTTGAATTCTGTTCAGAGCCAATAATGGGCCTACATACTGGGGCAACATAAGATTTCCATTATTTTTGCATCTCAAAATAAAAGCCAGGAAATAATTTAAATGCAAATGATGGCATGTATAAATCTATTTTTAAGTTTCTTGTTACCCAGTCATGATTGAATAAAATCTGTAATAGAGGAGCCAAATTTTTACAGGTGCTTTATACTACATGCTTATATGACAACAAATTGAAAATAATGTCTTTATTCTATTTTGATAATTCAAATTTAAAGAGAATAGGATATTTCAACACATTTTAATTTTAAAAGTGAAAAAATTAAGGCTAAAAAGGGTTAGGACATAGATATAAAGTAATTCACATTGCAAAATGGGGTAGAAGTGAAAGAGGTAGAATGCAGGGGAGGTTGAGCACGTGGAAGAGTCTCAAGATTGCTTACAGAGTGAGAATTTCAGAGTCAGGATGGAGTTCCAGAAGCAAGTGGAAAAACCCTGGAATGACTGAATAGGAGAGGAGACAGGGAATTCCTGGAGAACAATATGACAAGCAACAGAGAAGGCCCAGCAAGCCTGGACAGCTCACATTGTTTTTATCCTGCAAATCAATCCAGGTGCACACTACTCTCTAGCAACAGTCAGAACCTCCAAAATTAAAGGTGCAAAAGTGTCTGGACACAAGAAAGGCATAAAGCAGTGGCAAGGGACTGGGAAAAGTAGATGCAGTTGAAGGGCTACTCCAAGATGGGTTTTGCTAAGGAAAAAAACTTCTTTTTCTGCAAAGAAAATTATCTATTCATATCTCTTTAAAAAATTCATTTTTGTTACATGCCCTTGGTTTGTTTATGCCAACGAAATTCAAAAGTATTTGTTTCAGGCACTGGGTTGGTACCAAGATTGCTCTTCTAAAGGGTTTTATCAACTTGGGTTGCCTGTACCTGTTCCTCAGCACCAATGTGTTAATCACTTCCTTTTGCTTCCATTTAGTCTAGTAGATTGCTAGCCAGAATCAACAATTTTATGATCTACTATTTATCTCCTTTTGTGTTAGACATTAACGTCCTTTTCAAAGGATTCATTAATAAGAATGGGAAGTGCAAGAATCATGTGTCTTGCCCTCCCTCCATTCTACTTATTTAAGGGATCTTCATTTTTTTCTGCCACTACATCACTCATTAGCCCACTGCCATGTTCCATCCTGGATGCCTCCTGCCACTTCAGCCCAACATTCCACTGCTAATGCTCTTTGTAGGATCAGAATCCAAGGGTCAGGATCACTTGTCAAAGCTGAACTCTTGTACCTCCCTCTGCTTTTCTTAACTTCCACGTAGTTTGCTACTACCCTCTACACTAGTACTCTGGTCCCGCAACCACGTTGGATTTCTTCTTTCGATTCCCACAACCAAAAGTTGGTCTTCATTTAATTTGTTCCCACTGCACAATACATCAAGTAAACAGTGAGTTTCTAACTGGTCTCCCACTTGGATTTAGAAGGTTCTGGTTTAGTTCTAAACACTTACTGAGTGCCACCATGGGCTAAGAATTATGCCAGATAAAGTTATCTATCTCCAGGAATAGATGAATATTGAATATATACATGATTACATGCAACTGGGAGATTAGGTAAGAATTAGCCAGATTCAAAATTTTAGCCCTTGGTTTTTCTCAGGCCCAAAGAGCTGCTGACAATAAGAGACCTCTCCAAAATCTTTGCTAAATTTATGTGTTCTAGTAAAGATAGACATGAATGTGTTAGCAGAAGAGCATATTCAGTGATTTCTAAATAGTGTGGCCAAATTTCCAATATCAGAGAAAGTGAAAGGCAACCTCACCAACTCTTAAGACCATGGTTTGGGAGGCCCACTCCCTTTATACAGAATATGTCACTCTGTCCTTCCATGCCTTTATTGGTGACAGCAATGGACAAGAACAATGCCAGGTCCAACACCTGGGGTGCCAAGCAGGCCCTGCAGGGCTACTGGCACATCCAGCCCCCAGCCCAACATCCAATCTACCCAGGCCATGTTCCCGAATGGGCATGTCCCCGTCTGTCCAGTTTGTATGTGTGGATCAGTCTGTCTGAGTGCCTGAGCCGTTGCCTACAGGGTCCCACCATCCTTGGCACATGGTAGGGGCTGTTGGGAACACAACGTGGCATTCCCCGGTGGACCACTGGGCCTCGGTGCTGACCATGGGAGACAGGGCCAGGGACTGGAGGTGGCAGGGGGCCAGGCACAAAGTTCATTCCAGGGCCACATCCTACAAAAGAACCAGCTGTCAGAGTGGGCTTCTGACCAGGGTGAGCAAAGCTCTGCCTTCAGGCAGCTCTGGTCTGCTAGGGTGATTTCTCTTGGCTTTGGTTTCCTCATTTGCAAAACGGGGATACCACTTCTCCTACCTACAATGGGTAAATTATGATAATCAATGAATTAATTAATGAGTCTGTAGCTACTGTTCCAAACTGAGGGACTACTGTCACCAAACTCAATCCTGGGGGCAAAAGGAGTACCCAACTCCTCTCGGCTTACCTGGGTACAGCAGGCTGGGCTGGGGGAGGTACAAGGGGAGACTGGGAGAGGTGTTAAGGGGGGTCACAGAGGCACCTACCTAGGTTGGGTGGCATCGAGAAGTCCTCCATTGGATTGTAATTGAAGAATTCATGGGGTGGAAAGGGCTGGCCTGGGAAAAAAGGGGCATCCTGGGGCAGGGGTGGGAACAAGGGAGGTGGTGAGGGCTGAGGAAGAGGATAAGGAAAAGACATGGGAGGGGGTAAAGGAGAGGGTGGGGGTGGAGGCAAGGCCAGCTGCTCCCCGAAGTCTGGGGACTGCCTATGGCTTCCCTGGAATGGATGATCCATCTCTGGCCAGTCCTCAATCCACGGGTCTAGGAATGGGATGATTGTTTTAGAAAGGCCTGAGAAGCCAGGCTGCCCTGAACTCTGGTTAGCCACACTTCCAGAGTTCTTCTCTATTCTCTCAGAGAACAGGGCTACCAGGCTGGAGTACCACGTACCTTCCACCTAGTTTTCCTCATTCCCTCACGTTTTAGGCCAAGCTCAAGATATGCTCCTTTTTTCTTGCTTCACATTTCCCACTCTTCTGACTTCATCCTTCCCTCCCATACCTATTTCCTGTGCTTGCTCAATTCCTGAATCTTTAGCTTTTTCCTCTCCCCAACTCCTTCCCACAGACCAATAAATAAGCCAAATATAAAGATCCTGTTCTCCCTTCTCCCACTGGCCCCCCTTTCCTTCCAAAGTTCTACAAGGAACATTTTTGTCCCATTTCCATGCCCTCATCAATTGCTCACCATCTCTTTGGACCCTATTCCATGCCTTCAATGCATTCATTTCCTACTAAAGGCAACCACTTATGGACATATTTAACTAATGGTCACATGTCATCAACAGCCTCTGTCTTCCTTGAAAGTGCCTCTCTATCTTCACCTCCTTGTTTCTGCCATCAGTCCCTCTTTCCTGTCAATTTGAAGTGTGAGTACTGTTCTGCTTTATTCTTCATGGTTCATACTCATGCCCTCTACTTCTTGCCTGGTATCTAAATACAAATCCCCTGTATTTCCATAGTACCTCAGACAGATCTGCCCTAATCAAACTCATCAACTCATCCTTCCACCTCAAATCAATTCTTCCATTGAATGTCCTTAATTTCTGTAGCTTTAAATTAGATTCAGAAGACCCAAGACACCACAAACTAGCCTTAAAACCTTTTCTTTGCTGGGAGCAACTCTGTCATCTATAAAATAAAAGTCCTAATTCACCTTCCCGATGGATGCTCCAACTCCTGGCTACTAAGTTCTGGAGATCTGCCCGTATGATATTCCCAGCCCTCTGTGCCCCCCACCCTTGTGCTGAGACAGTTTCTAACATAACTTATGCCTCCTATTCAACAAACACTGTCCTCCTGGAACTGTGTACAGAGTGACTGTGCTAGACCCTGGGATGAAAGGGGTGAATTGTGAACAAGTGAGGCAGGAAACTAGTCTTTTGAAGACAGGATGGAGGGGAAAGGCAGACACGGAAACAATCAGCCATGATGCCCCAGATGTGAAGAAGCAGGGACTGGGAGGCTAACAAGGAAACAAATGTTTTGCAGTGTAGAATGTTACGGCTTAGATGTGATGGGAACAGTACCCCAGAACAAGCAGGAGGGGTAGAACCCTCAGAAGCCTGTGCTAGTAATGAGTGATAGGGCCAAGGACAGCAGTTCTAAGCTGCAACCAAAGACACTGGGACCCTAAGGCTGAGATGAGCCAACAGGATCTTGTCCACTGAACCCATTCCCGTGAGAATAACCTGCATCATGTCTCTGCTCAGCAGTCTTACAGCTGACTGCTCCCCCTGGTCCTCTGACCAATGGGTTTCCTTGCCTCTGCCACACTGCCTCGACTACCCTTCCTCCATTTCTATCTTTCTATGCTCCACACCTGTGCCTAGCTAAAAGTACACCCATTTTTTTTTTCCTGTTCACCTGTTGAGTAGAATTTTTTGACACCTGGCCAAATGCAATAACCAATGCTTGCATAAGCTCACTCATGTAAACAGAGGAACTATACAATTGGACTGTAAAGAACTGGATTCAGACTAAAATGTTGTTCCTATGAGCTAACCCTCCCCAGAGGATGATGAAGGCACACTCAGGAGCCATGACAGTCCTTCAGAGACCCCAACTCTCTACCTCTGTTCCATTCCTTTCTTGAGTCCTATGTTCTAACAGCCCTACCTGCATCACTACCCAGCCCCTCTGTGGTAGGGCTCACCAGGGGGATGGTCACGCTTGGGCAGTTCCACACCCCAGGCATCAGCCACATGGGTCAGAAGCAGATGTGAGAGGTGGCGGTGTGCATGCTGGTCCCAATGGACACCGTCTCGATGGCGGTGCCGTACTGCATGCCGGAAATGAAAGTGGAGGTCCAGGACATCGAAGCAATGGTCCCCGGCCAGTGTAGCGCTGTAGAAGTTGCCCTCAACTACATCCCGTCGTAGAGTGCCCGCCAGTGGCTGAAGCTGAGGGAGAAAGTGCAGCCTCTATGAGGGTCCCCTATCTATCAGCTAGTTTTTCATCCCCTGTCCAGAAAGGTCCCAGTTACTTGCCTCTGGCAAAAGAAAACCTCCAGTGATGCGTTTGCCTAGGGGCATTGCCATGTTCCACACCAGCAAACAGGAGTCTGGCAACACTTGGTCCATGCGCACAAACACTCGTTCCAGGTTCTCTCGGTAGCTTTCCATTGAGCAACGGCCATACCTATTACATAACATATAGGGTGGGCAAGGAGCACAGGGGAAGAGCCATACCTCCACCTCCAACCTGTATTTACCTCTCCCCTGCCCCAACCTGGAGAGATCCCAGAGGCAGGAGTTGATGATCACCAAGTCGGGGGCAGGCCCATATGTCAGCTCCTCCAGGACGTCCTCAAGGTACTCAGAGTAAACGCGGGTGAGGAAGTAGAAGCGTACAAGGTGGTGGCCAGAACCCGAGCAGAACTGGCGGACCTCGCGATACTGTGTCCCGTTGTGCAGCTCACCCAGCTGGCCCCCAGCCACCAGCTGGTCCTGTTCAAAGCTCAGCTCCCCCTGCCCACCCCCCAACCCTGCTGGTCAGACCCATGCCAGGGAGGTGCCCTGCCAGGCCAGGGTCTGCACCCACCCACCACTGGCATAGCTGCAAAGCCTCCCTCACCTTGGCTTTCAACTGGGCAGCTGTGAGCAGTGAGTCTTTCTGGAGCAGAAGCACCAGGTCCTTATACACAGCTCTCTGGACTGCAGGGAGACAGTGATTCCCAAGGCTGAGGCAGACCTTGCCCCATCCCAGCTCTTCCCAAGTCTAAGCCTCCCATCTTCCCAGGGCTGGGCTGCTCAACACCAGCTCCATGGAATATTCACTTAAGTGCAGGAAAAAAAGGGAAGATTTAAAAGCCCTGGCACTGCCCGTTCTTTCTATTTGTGCCCCTGTCAAAGGAGAATATGTGACCCTAGATCACCTGGCAAAGTCAAATTGGTCAAGTCCCCCAGGAGACACATGATACAGCCCTTAGCTCCTTTTGGGTAGATTATGGGAGACTGTGAGGGAGAGAAAAATGCTAAGCAAGGATGGGCAAAAAGTGCACAAGTTACATGTCAAGACACCTGTGGAAGATGTGTAGGGAATTAAAAAGAGGGGGCATCTATTTAACTAGAACAGACTAGGGGGCAGAGAGACCTGAGATGGAGGCAAAAGGTGCAAACATAGAAACAGGTTGCAGATGCAGGTTTGGGACGCGTCATTTTAGAGGGGGCACTCACTGGAGTCCCCCAAGATGACCACGAACTTGTTGTGTAGCAGCTGCTGGACTTCTGAGGCCTGGAAGTGGACCATGGCGCTTCGCAGCGGGCGGTGCGGCACCTCGTTTTCCAGACAGAAGACCATGCCGCCACCGACAACGACGGGCTGCAGAGAGAGGCCACTAAGCCGCTCGAGGGCGGGGACATGGAGCAGGTCGGCCCCAGGGCCCGCCCTGGGATAAACGAGGCCTGCGCCAGCCCCTCCCAGGCTGCTCGGAGCTACAGAGAGGCGGCTGCGGCGGCAGAGGGGAGCCCATGGCAGCGCCGGCCTTGGTTAAACTCCGTGCGGGAGGCGGCGGTCGCCGGGCCTGCAGGCCTCCAGGGCACTGTGGCGCTTCCCGCGCGGCGGCGCCGCCCTGCGCCCCGCCACGTGCCCGCTGCCCCGCGCATGCGCGCGCGCCCGCTCGCGCCAATTACCGAATCCCGGGGCTCCGCGCAGTTCACCGGAGAGTAGTGCGAGACCGCGCACTGCGCGCCTGGCCCGCAGCGGGCTCCAGGTCTAGCCTCATGTTCCCGCACCCCGGGAGGCCAGTCGGTTCTGCAAAGCCCCTGCCCTGCAGAGCCCTTGCGCCCTGGTTAGCTGTCGGTGCGCAGCCCGACGCCCAGCGCTCTCCATGCGTGCGTCGCGGTGGCCCCGACGGCGCCTCGGGCTTCGGCGCCCCAGGCGGCGTCGCTCACAGCTCCCACTTCCGGTCACCCATGTCACCCCTGCGCACCCTCAACGCCCGAGTGGATAGAAAAGCGGCAGGGTCAGCTGCTAAGGGGCCCAGGAGCCAGGGTTAGGCCCACCCGGGCGGGCGGGAAGCCCGGTGCGGGCGGGGGGCACGGCGACGGCCGACAGCAGCTGCCCACAGTGGTGATGGCCGCAGAGGCGGCCTCGTCACGTGACGCGGACGGGCGGAAGCGGAAGTGCCGGCCTGGAGCCCGCGCTAGGTGGCTGTCCTAACATTGCCCAGCCGCTGTCTGCACCAGCCATGGACTGCTACACGGCGAACTGGAACCCGCTCGGGGACTCTGCCTTTTACCGGTGAGCCGCCCCGCCCTCCCGCCTACAGCCCGGCTTACCTCGCTCGCCCGCCCGCCGGCTCGGGTCTCCGGGTAGAGCCGGCAGCGTTCGCCCCTGTCACTATGGGCGCTGGGGTCCGCCCCACACCGGCTCTCCCTGACTGTCAGGGACTTAATGCACAGCTGCCTCTGGGTAGGGAGCCGGGCCTGCTTCAGAGAAACGACCGAGATGAGCGGTTGCCACTCCCAAGTTTAGGTCTGTCAGCCTCCGGAAGGATGCTCAGATCTCGTTGAAGGAGGCCGCCCGCGGTGACAGCGAGTACCCGGTCTCCTGCCGGAAAGTGCTGCTGAAGTCAGACCACAGGGGCGCTCGGAGGGGGGCGGGATCGCACGGCGGGCGGGGTGTCTGTGCTGACCAAGGCAGGGAGAAGGGGGCGAGTTGTCAGTGAATCCTGGAACAGCGCAAGTGAGGACCCCCTGGTCCGGGGTAGCCTTCCCGCAGGAGTCCTAAACCAGGATTTTCATTAACTTGCAAACCTATTACATCGTTAGCCTGATCAGGATTTTTCAACAACTTCCCTTTGTAAACTAAAATACAGTCTATGTATATGTCGGCCCCTATTTGTGTCTTCAACCTCATCTGTTGCTCTCTTATCCAAAGCTTGTGTTCCAGCTGCACAGAATTTCAGGGCCTCAACACACAGTGATATTTTATGGCTTTCTATGTTTCTATCAGCCTACAGTTCTTTCTGTGGGCATTGCCATTTCCCTCTTTAACTCACTGAAGAATTCTTGCTCATCTTTCAGGACTTAGTTCAAGAGTTCTTCCTAGAACCTTCCTTCGCCTTCTCCCGATTGAAATCCTTTAGGCTTCACCGGGCCTGGTGCTAAGATCTGTTATGTGTGATACAGTAGGGCAATATTTGTGTGAGTTCCTTTTGCTAAACCAAGCCCTTTGAGGGCTGATATCATGTTTCTTGCATTTCTTTATCTCCAGTGCATGTTTAGAAGTGTCTTCTGTATAACAATTTTCCAATTAAATTTTTAAAGAATAGTTTTAGAGTTGGGAATATAAATCAGTGGAAGAGCCCTTGCCTTTAGGGAGACCCTGGATTTGAACCCCAGCACTGGGGGTGGGGAGATATCATATGAATTACAATTAAAGATCGCAAAGACATTGCATCATGATATATTTTTTCAATAGAAGATATTCATTTCTGCTTATGAAACTACTATTCTTACTCATGTATTCAAACTTTTAAATGTAATTTTTGATTTGCAACATGATACACTTCCTAGTTAAATGCCTTGTAACAATTTTTAGAGATCTGTCGCATTTATTCATGATAATTCTCATGAATTATCATGAAATATGCCTATACAATATGAAAAAATTGCAAAGTTTACTTAAAATCAGTAGGAAATACTAATGATTTTATGTGTTTCAGTAGAGAAGAGATACCAGCTGACAAAGTTAGCATATTATTTAGTGTTCACTCACCACCTAGTTAACACAGCATTCACTTTTTAAAATATTAATTTCTATTACTCTTGAAAATACTTATTGCTTGCCCAGGTCTGTTGAATCAAAGACGAAAGACAATGTCCTCATTACCACTGAGCTCCTGTTTAGACCACTAAAGTTTTTTAAAAAATTCTAAGTCTTGAGTGCATACCATTGACATGGAGCTGATTGGCCAATCTACCCTTACCTGTTCTGTACTGTCAGAAAGGATTAAGGGTCTTAATCTTGCTGTGGAGAACATGTTCTAAGTTGCTAACATATATTTAAACTTTCTTATCTACTAGACACTATCCTGAGTACTTGTGTGTTGATTTGCTTAACCTTAACAACTTCATAATATAGGCATCATGATTAGCCCCATCCTATTGATGAAGAAGCTGAGGGTCACAGAGGCCAGGTTACAGTAGACCAGGTTATGTAGCTAGTAAGTGGTAGAAACAGGATTTAGACCCAGATAGTCTAGTTCTAGACTCTGTGCTAAAGCATAAGAATTGTTTTTTTAAACAGGAAAATATAAGAACATGTCCTAGTTTCAGTAGTGAAAATGCTTTAAGTGCAGGTTCTTTATTTTCTTCATATTTGTACAATCTTAGGACATATTTGTATTCTAGTAAGTGAATTGAATGATAAGCAGGTGGGAGTCATTGCAATTTGAGTCCTTCTGGCAGGACAGGATTCTTCTGCACTAGAGAGAGTATTTTGGAAATTCTGAAATTGGGGAAGGCAAAGAGAGAAAATGGTGACCAGGTCTTATGGGACTCTAAATCTAGACTTTTTTAGTTCTGGGAATTGAATTCAGGAGGCACTGAGCCATATCCCCAGTCTTTTTTTTTTTATGTTTTATTTTGAGACTCACTAAGTTGCTTAGGGCCTTACTAGATTACTGAAGCTGTCTTTGAAGTTGCAATCCTCCTGCCTCAGCCTCCTCAGTTGCTGAGATTACAGGCATGTACCACTATGCCTGGCAGAAGTCTAGCCATTTTTATCCTAAAAATACAACTTGAGCTATTGCCATTATTAAATTTGACCCAGCCTTTGCTAGTTTGAACTTGTATTGACCAATACAACAGACATGTACTCTTCCTGCTCTCATAGGGCTAATAGTCACAGGGCAAGGCCATTAATAACCATTAGGTATTTGTTTAGTCTTAATCCCTATGAAGGATAATCACTGAGGTGTAGGAGCACATACCTTAAGAGAGCATATAAACTGGGTATGGTAGCACACATCTGTAATCCCAAATACTCGGGAGGCTGAATCAGGAGGATTGCAAGTTTGAGGCAAGTCTCAGTAACTTAGTGAGACATGTCTCAAAATAAAAAGGTCTGGGAATATAGCTCAGTGGTATGTGTCCCTGGATTTAATTCCAATATAAAAAATGAGAGAGATGTAGAGAGTGATTGCATACACATAACAGATTGGGAGTGGGGGAAGATAAAGAAGACTTTTCAAAAAAAATATTTCTTTTTTAGTTTTAGATGGATACAATATCTTTATTTTATTTTTATGTGGTGCTGAGGATTGAACCCAGTGCCTCACATGTGCTGGGCGAGCACTCTACCACTTGAACCACAACCCCAGCCCCCAAGAAGACTTTTTTAAAAGAAAGAATAATGTCCCATCCAAGAGATAAGTAGACTTAAGTGCAGGGGGAGGGTTAAAGAAGAGCATATACAAAGGTCCTGAGGTAGGAAGGTCTGAATCACTCCCAGTGACCTAAAAAGCCAATGGGATTGGAGTGCTACAGGCAACAGGCAAGACAAAAGCTGAGGTTGATGTCCTTCTTTTAGGAGTCACACTCTACAGGAACTTATAGACCATCTTATTTGAAAAACATGAGGAATTTAAATTAAGGAAAAGATTAACATGAATGGATTTGCACTGTGTGGGGATTGTTGTGTGTTTTAAGTTCCTTCTGGAGGCAGAAGATGGAACTTTTTGGAAGATTGGAAGCAAAAGAGACTGAGTAAGGAGCCTAGGGAGAAGTTGTGGGTAGTGAAGTTGCTGGGGTTATAGATCTGTGCTACCACACCTGGCATTTAGCCATATTTTAAGGCTAAATAATATCCTATCATATGTATATACCATAATTTGCTTTTCAGTTCTTCAGTCAAGAGGCACTTGGATTGTTCTCACCTCTTGGCTATTGAGAGTAATGGTGGCATAAACATGGTGTACAAATACCTTTTTAGTAGGGCTAGAGTTGTAACTCAGTGATACAGTGCATGCTTAGCATGCATAAGGCCCTGGGTTGGATCCTTAGTACCCAACAACAACAAAACCTTTTTGAGACAGGTTGGAGGAATGGGATTTCAGGGGTGACAATGGGTTCTCTCTAGGGACTAGGGATTTGGGGATTATTGGGTTTTCCTAAATCAAGATCTGATGTGCTTCTCTCTCCCCAGGGCTTTGATACTCCAGCCTGTTTCACAAAGGGGCTCTTGTCACATCATGGTGCACCACGATGCTCCAGCAGTTCAACTGCATTGCCACAGGGATTTCTTTACTGTTTCTTGCAGGAGCTAGAATTGCCAGGACCGTGGGTATAATAGTTTTCTAATGTAAGAATCCAGGGTTCATTTCTGCTGCTCAGAAGATTTCCATTTCTGAGACCTGGAAATGGAGGAGAAAGATGTAGCTGGCCTTTCTGTTTGAGAGTACAGCTTGTCCTCACCCTTAGGCTTTTCTGAGAGGCTGCCCTTCACTCTCCCCTTCCACATCCACAGCATCCTTACAGCACAGCTTGAGTCACCTCACTGAGAAGCCTACTGTAGCTTGAAGACTTTGAGAGGTGATTTGCCTTGTTGCTCTTTGCTCCCTGACCCTTTCTTCTGTTCCTCTTTCAGGGCTCCTTTATGCCTGGCTCTGCCTCTTTCGTACTTGGTCTACTATTGCCAGTTTCTTAGACCACATCCGATTGGAGGTTTTGGCCCATGGCTTCTGGAGATCCCAACTTTTGCCAACTTTCAGGGTGACTTAAATGGCCACTGTCTTCACAGTGATTTTATCCACTCAGCCACTCTCTCCCCCAGTCCCTCTCAACCCTGGTGCTCTACCTCAGAAGTGTTAAATTCGGGCTGGGGATGTGGCTCAAGGGTAGTGCGCTCGCCTGGCATGCGTGCGGCCCAGGTTCGATCCTAAGCACCACATACAAATAAAGATGTTGTATCCGCTGAAAACTAAAATATTAAAAAAAAAAAAAAGGAATGTTAAATTCACAGCCTCCTCTTGGACCATAGACTCCTGTCTGCATGGATACTCTGAAACTTCCTGGTTCACCTGCCCTTTAACCTCTGTGGGTCCCCATCCACGGAGCTTTCTTTTGTCTTTGTGACTACATGCAGAGCTCCTTCTACAGATGTTTCCTTCCCTGTCCGGCTAGCTGGACAGCCATGGGCAGTCACTTCTTTTTCTTGCCTTTTCCCTAACAATCTTGTTCCTTTGCCCTTTGGTTGCACTTGATTGGCACAGGACCACCTCCCTGTGCACCAGTCTC